TGTGCGAGACATCTCGTTAAATATTAACAACAAGTATTGTATTATTTAATTTTTACCCTGTCATAATTTTATGCACTTTCTTATATTGTTGACGACAGTATAAACCCAGACGAGCAGGCGAGTACGAGTTTTCTTTTGTGTTTGAGTCAGTGTTGAAGTAATCAAGTATAGAAACTTTTCTAACAACTAATCAATATCAAAATAAATTACTACACTTTTTTGGTAAATTATTTAAGAGTACAAGTCTTGGAATTTCACTTATGAATATTATGATTAGTGCAATTTGTTATTTATGAAAAAAAAATGAAATTTTGTGATGTACATAATGTACGGCGTGAAATGTCATTGACTTTGCATAAAAAAATGTAAAAAATTGCTCCAACTAAATAAAAAGTTGTAGAAAAGAAAATATATAACTTATTTGAAGTAATATTTTTTTCCTAAGAAATTTAAATGTTTATAATATAAACGCTATGATTTTTCATGAAGCGTTATTGAATTTAATTTATATTTATAGCTTACACTGAGTTAGTATAGATTTGTATTTTTTTGTACTAACTAAATATTTAATTTTTAAATTGAAAAGCTTTGATCAATATGGTGAATATTGAGAAATTTCTAAGCTAAAACTACTCTACAGTTCTTCGATTGTGTTCCGAGTGTATCATATAAGTATAATTTATTATTTGTAACTAAAAAATCTCAATTTTCTTCTCAGATAAGAATGTTATATTCTAATCTGATCAATAATTGGCCTTCAAACGTAGACTACGAAGAAAACAAAATCTCATTAAATATGCCGAAAGAGTTCGACTGATTACAGTTAGATTCATGAGTAACGAATTTTTATAATACAATGTTTTGTGATTTTCATAAAATAATTATCTTTGAACATATTTTTATTAATATTACATGGTTTTGCCTTTGCAATTTACGTTAGCTTTATATTTTTGCCTTCAATACCAAGAATATTAAACAAGATAAACCCACCGTAGAAGCCAATTTCCTACATACAAATACTGCATGTAGAATTTTTTTTAGAATAACGATAAATATTACGTAATATTTTATATTTAGGATGTTTTAATGGTAACAACTGCTATTGCTATTCTTAGACCTATCGGCACGATGTTTTCTATAGAAGTTGGGCATTATTTAGAACTATATTCAATTCTTAAGTATAATTTTACCCTGCTATAATAAGAAATTTCAATTTAATTAAAGAATTTAATAATATAACTTTATGAATCGACTGCTTACTGTTAAATCGTTCTCCGGAGCAAGAGACGTTGTATACTATCAAGTAATCGAAAGCAATAAATTGAATCCAAGAATTCTGAGGTTCATATATTATTTTAATCTTGTTAATCTATATTCATTTGAATAATCGATCAAATTTTATTCAGATAAATTGAACATATTTTTGCAGATTTACATATATCCTTGAAAAGATGTATTCAGTTTGTTTTGTGGTTGTGATTCCTCTTGTTTGTGTTATGGCAATTACAATGACAATTCGAAATCATTTTTAAAAATACGTAATCTCCGTTTTTTCTTTCAAATCCTTATAAGTTTGAATAAAACAATGATGTTATGTTGTTATGTTTTATTCTTCTCTGCTACTTCAATACATTTGTTCAACATATTTTGGCCAAGACAACTAATTTATTGATCATAGCGATGCCGCTTTTGGAGTTGCCTAAGTTAGTTTGAATCATTAATATATATAAAAATTTTGAATTAGATTAGTGAACATTGTATGTATAGGTATCACAATAGAAGGTATGATATATCTTTGAGAACGAAAAAAATTGTAAAATTTTTTACCATTCGTTGCTCGAAACCGTAATATTTAACCGTCTATATGAAATATTTACTGAAAATATTTCGACAAAATCATCGAAATAAATTATGATAATTTTGAGATTCTGAAAACAGTAATATCCTGTATTACAATTTGTGCATCATTCCGATGAAATCTCAACGTATTAACATGTTACTTATAATTATTGTTAGAAATATATTGCGTGACTTATTTTGGATTTGTATTCAAATAATAAATAACAAAATAAATATATCGATGGGCGGGGATTCGACTGTACGCACGCTCGAGAAATCGAGCGTGCTTAAAATCTCTTCCTATGGACGTGTATCGAACAATAATACATGTGCGAGAAGTTGATTTCACCCCTCTTCACCCTTGCTTTGCTCGGGCGCAAACATTCACACGAGGCTCAAATAACTTTCTCGCACTCTAGTATCGAAAATATACCAATTTCTGTATGGAAAGCAATTGAAATTTCATAACGAAAACAGCGTTGCCGTTGAAGCGCCATCATAAATAAAGTTGTCAATTAGAGCAACTAGCAAGCGTAATGATGAAATCAACGTAAAATAAATGTTCTTTTAGGCGCTGCTAAAAGCAAAGCTAAAGGTCAATTTTTGTACAGACAAAACGTCTCTGCAAACCGCCGTCGCGTCTAGGTCGTAAGGAAAGGCGGACGCTCGCCATTACGCGAGAGCACACGCACACTCATCTCTTTTCGCGAGAGATAAAAGATAGGAGCAACAGCAACAGTGCTGTTGGTGGTGGTGCATCGTCGTCGTCGCCGCATAGCGTTCTCTCCTTCTCTCGCGGTCCATATATGTAAATACTCTCCGTATAGCCGAGAGAGAGAGAGAGAGAGAGAGAGAGAGAGAGAGAGGACACGGCAGCAACTCGACTAAAAATAAAGATAAAGCAGGAAAGGGGAGAGATAAAGAAGGGCGGAGTGGTCAGTAGCCGCGTATGTAACATACTATCTTGAATATGCGCATACATCGCCCGCTGCTGTTGCTTCTGCTGGAAGAAAGGAGAGTATAGCTGGGGGGGGGGGGGGGGGCACTCCGCTGATTCTCGGAAATCGTTGTGCGCGGGAGCTGCCCAACTCTCGCTCGCGTAATTACCTTCCCTCCTTCTTTTCCTTCCGCGTGTGTGCGCCGCGACCCAGCCAAAGCTTTTTCTCTTTCTCGCCTGTTCTTTTTGCTAATTGATTAGCCACGAGCGGGTACTCTGTGGAACCATTTTGCTATTACGTTTTTACGATTAATGGCGATTGTTTGCGTACGAGATGATCCCACGTTGGATCGAAAATTTACGCGCTTTCGTGAATCCTTTTTTTAAGGTTGTGCCCTCTGGCGCCAGCTGTTGCCTTAAGCTACTCTTTATGTCATATTTTTATTCAATTTCTTTACCTCGGCCTTGTGGTACGGCTTTGCTTTTGCTCCAGGATCAATGTATTAAACATTGTTGAAAAAAAAAATCTTAATTCGTATGCATACGAGGTAGGCTCTTTTAATGCGATTAATAATAACGCTGACGATAATCGAAATACAGGTGAACCTTTCAATTTGCGTGCTTCGAGTTTGATAATCAAATATCCAAAGTACATCTGGATATAAACGTTTGGAATGCTCTTCTAAGTAACCTATCGGCATTGAATGTCTTTATTCTGTCACCCCTGTCATAGCAAAAAAGAGCCTAAAATAAACAGCTTTCTATTCGATTGATATCTCCGTCCCACACTAGCATCGAATTTTACGACGGGCAATCGAGTAACCTTGGCAGTACGATTGCGGGATAAGATTACTTACTTGGCAAGCGAGTTAATTTTCTTAAGAGAAGCAAAAAAAATATCACGACTGTAGAATAAAGAAAAAAAAGCTTTGAAATGCCAAGTAGTAGGATTTATTCTAGTTTCTCGCCCAAAGAATACAAAGAAACGGACGCGCGAGCGCGGCTAGAAACAATGACGTTGCATACATGTATGCAGCCGTTTACGCCGGATGTTGCCGTCGTCGTCGTCGTCGTCGTCGCACGTGCGCATTCGCTCTTACACTCACACACACACACACACGCGCGCACACGCACACAGATGTATACATAACGCTCAGTGGTATTAAAAGGGAGGCTACAGCCGTTAAATGTCGGAATGACCGGAGCTGTTATGAGATGTTAATACACCCGCTCCTTTTCCAACGACCACCTTCTATGTTATATGCATGGACAACCCGCGACGAAAGCTCCTTCCGTTCTCCTTCCTTCCTATTCTTCTCTCTTGCTCGCGTTCATTCGTGCTTTTTGTTGCTTGCTGAAACTCTGATCGCTGGAGATTACTTACGAGTCTGATGATTTTTCGGATGTGTTAATTCATGCTACATTAAATTTTATATATGAGTCAAGTCAACTCGTACAGGCGCGTCAAATTCCAGCGTATCGCGTTGATGTTTTCCTTTCTCTCCACGAAATACAGCTTTTTTTTTTTTAATTAAACGTATGCGCTGCTGGATTTAAAAAATCAAAATTCAATTGACAAAAAATGCGAAGTTAATTCTTTATCCAGAGCGTTCCATTAAAATAACGGCCCCGCTAGCCAAGTCAAAATAAATACAAATACTTGGTTGGTGAAAAAAAGGGAAAATTCGCATGCAGCAACCTCGAAACAAACTTTCATAAACTGTTTCATTTATGTAAATACTAAAGTTCCACGCATAACTTGCCAATTTGCCTCGAAAATTAAACAGCATCGCCTCCTCGTGTCCGCTAAATTCTACTTCAGTAAGTTTCTTCGGTGTCTTCCTATTAAAGTGTAACTTCTTCTCACACCCGCCGAAGCGAGTTTCAAAAAAAAACAAAAAAAACAGAAATGTTCTATCTGCATTCGTTCTCACAAGAGGATGCGGGAGCTTCATTTTATAGTTATGCACTGAAGACACTTTTACTACGGCCAGTTCGTGGTTCGCTCGACGTTTATTGTCTCTCTCTCTCCCCCTCTCCTACTCTCTCTTTTTCCCCCGAAAAGCTCGTTCTCGATAGAATGGTTTATTTAATTTTTTTTCACGGCAAAATAAGCAGTAACAGGTATAGTTATAGTCGGACAAACTGTATCAATGATAGGATTTCTTAACTGCATATTTTTTTTTTATTCGATAAGAAAAATAGCATAAAAAATAACGCTTACTTGGTATGAAATGCATCGCCGCACTCGTTGCACGCATACTTCCTTTCTCTTGGTTTCTCGTCCTTCGTTGTTTTTTTAGCCTCGCATCGTCTCCGATGAGCTTTGACAGCTGACCTTCTCATAAACATAGCATTGCAGCTGTCACAAGGGAATGGTTTCTCGCCCGTATGTTTCCTGAGGTGATCCCTAAGTACCGTCTTGGCAAAGGTTTTGCTGCATATGGTGCACGTATACTTTGGCGCCTCGTTGTCGTCGCCGTTGTCATTGTCGTCTCCGCGTTGTCGTTTGCGCACGGGTCCACGGTGAAGAATCTTGTGGAACAAGTATTCCGCTTGATACTCGCTGGCGAACGGGCACTCACCGCACTTCCATTGTTTCAGGCCGGTATCGTCGTCGCTACCGTCACACAGGTTGTCGCGCGTATGCCTGGTTACGTCTTGCGACAACGCAAACAGTTTGCCGCATCTTGGACATCTTTTCGAACGAAAACGTCGGGTAAAAGTTTTAGTTAGCTGACTGCATATAAATAGAAGGAGGATACCAACCTGTGACACGATGTGGGATGTTTTTCTAACAAGTGAAGTCTGTACTCAGAAAGGTTAGATAGTTCTTCCTCGCAATGAGGGCAGATTCTGGCAATCGACTCTTCGCTAGATTTTTTACGCTTAAGCGTCTCTTTGTGACCGAGAGTCCGACGATGTACTACAGCTTCGCGGGCTGTCTTGAACGTTAACGAGCAGAACGAGCAGAAGTACGGGGCTGCTGTCTTTGAGTTTTGTAATTCCGTTGCCACTTGTCGTTGGTTTTTATCCTTGTGATAGGTGAGTTGATGGCGTTGTAGGGCGATTAGCGAACGCGAGAGTTGACCGCATAAGTTACAGTACAGTCGATTCTGATACTCGTCCGAGGCCGAGTAGCTGATCTCATGACCACTTTCTTTGGCGTGATAACGTAGTTGAACGTTGTACCTAAATTTTTAAACAAATGGTATATTTTGAAAGTATTTATGCAGCAAAGAATAAACACGAAAGGTAAAGACAAAGAGAAGTGAGGGAGAGAGTTGGATGAAAAGCAATATACGTATACCTGAAGCGGCGGCAACAGGTTGAACACGAGAGTATTCGCTGGCGACGAATGACTATCGGTACCGAGCCATTTATCATGGAAACAACATCTTGATGGCCTTGTTTCATTATATGCGCCTCCACGCTCTCATTATCATCGCACCAAAAGTTGCACAAGGCGCACACGAAGATTCCCTCTATCTGTTGAATGTATAAGTAACGTGTATGAGCTTTTGATAATCAAAAAATTGCCTAGCTGGAGTCATCGCGTTACGTCCGAGAATATGTGTTGGTCCGCGATAAAAATAATGCTGAAATTCCCTACTAAACATTGTTTCGTGCGATTTGTCGATTGCAATAATAGACCTACTTCGTTGCTAACATTTGCCTCGTATGAAATAAAATACATTTGCACTCTTATTAACATAAATGCTGTTATCGAAAATATTCTGGTTAACTGATAGCTGAAGCCATATAGGAACAAGTTTTGCGTGCACTTGGTATCCAAATGCACACGCGTACGCGCATACGTAGGGTCAATGGTAAAACTGACAAGGCTAAAGATAGAGAGAGAGAGAGAGAGAGAGAGAGAGAGAGAGAGAGAGAGAGAGAGAGAGAGAGAGAGAGAGAACAACCGTAAAGAATGTTGGCTTAGCGCGCTAGCATAAATAATAAATGCCACAGCTGATCGTATGCATAAGTAAGGTGTAGCCATACATACCACGGAAACAGTATCCCTGTGGGCATCGGATCGCCAATGCCGAAGAAAGGTATCCTCGGTGTTGCAGTAGAATCGACAGGAGGCACATTGAAAGGGGCACTGGCGCACGACGTTGGCCATGTTCTCGAGGAGAAAACGTTGCGCCCGCGGCGACGTCGGGCGCACACCTGACACCCGGCAATGATAATGCGACAGTAGGTGCTTGCCCATTTGACCACGTCGTACTCGCGCTCGACACATCTCGCACGACAACACTTCTTTCTGGCGTTGACGCTGCGGCTGCTTCTTGTCCTTGGCTGCTCTGCGCTGCTGCTGCTGCTGTTCGCGGCTTGGCGACGATGACTGCGGTTTTCCCAATTCACTGTGATTTTTCTGTCAATAAAATTGTTGCGTATGCTTTTTCAGAAACTATTATGTTTCCCGAAGAGAATGTAAGTATTGCTTTTTGAAAATATCCGAGGCTTCAGACAATTATTAGGCTCGTTTGCTTGGTCGGCTTTCAAAGAAAAAGCAAGCGCATAAAGTTTCACCGAAAAATTCGTATTTTTACAGTAAAATCGAATCGCAATGGTAAATAATAGGTGGATAAGAAAAATGGCTCACCAAGGCGAGAGCCTTTTGTCGTCGACTACGATTGGCGTCACGGAGTAACGGAGCAGACGCAGCGCCGGTGGCGAGAGCGTTAGCAGTAGCCAGCAGAGGCATTTGCAGGGCAGCGCCGTCGATTTCCTGGATGCTCCTTCGCGCGTGCAGATCGGAGAGCAGGTGCCGCTCGTAAACCAGCCGCGAGGCAAGCCTTCGACCGCAGGGACTGCACCAATATCCCGTGGCGATATCGGCCTGTGCCCCCGGAACCCATTTGCCGCGCATGTGACCCGGTGGTGGCTGCTGCTGCTGCTGCTGCTGCTGCTGCTGATGTTGGCTCGTCGTAGCGCTCTCTTTGCTTTCGTATACTTCGCTCTTCTGTTGCTGCATTCATGACCATTGGTCATCCGTTTGCTCTGCATTTTTTTGCCGATCAACTCCCTTACCTGAGAGATACTCTCGGCGGCATCTGGTTTCCACTTGCCACCGGTGTAAGTCGGCGGTGGATGCTCGTGGTGCTGTTCGATTTCCTCATAGTCGTCGTCCTGGGTCTGCATCTCTTCGTGTGCTGTACCGCCGGGTTTCCACTTTCCACCGGTGTGACTTCTCGGAGGAAATTGATTGTCCTGATAGTCTGAATCGGTGTAAGAATCGGACTCGCCGACATCGGGATCCATGCTGTCGACATCAAATTGATAATCGTAATCTACATATCTGCCCAGATGCGTTTGCATATCTTCCTTGTTCTCTTCAAGGCCTGTGAGCATGGTGTCATCCATCCAATCAGACTGCTCTCGATGATCATCGTGCTGACGTTTAGATTCAAGCTGCTCGTGCTTTGCTTTTGCCCCTGATGCAGACTTTTTCTTCGACGCGCTTGACTTACTTGTCGAGCTCGTAGAAGCAACAATTTCGGGAAATCCAAGGGAAGGTAGTCCCAGATCGTCAAAGTCAGCGACGACAGGTAGAAGATTTGGCAATTTTTCTTTGGACTCATCTTTGTAATCCAGAGATTTTTCTTTGCGTTGTCGATTCTTACGCAAATTCCTACCGGATCGGCGTAGTTGAGTATGATCAGTCGGCCGACGTGGACGGGATTGCTTTGCGCTGCTCTGTAGCTCGAGTGAACTGAAGAAAGCATCCGCATTGAGAATTTCAGGATAACAGATGGCGCCTGATGTCGAAGAGGGACAGTTAACGTTGACGGAAGTGCGGCAGACCGATTGCCGGTGACGCACGTAGTTGTCGAGACCGTTGATTGTCGAGTGACACTTGTTGCAGAAGTGCGTGTCGTCTTCATCTTCAAAATTTTCCATTTGCAATGCCTAGAATATTTTTGATAACAAGGATTATTTTGATGATCGAAACAACTGCAAATTTTTTAAAATCGAATCGTCGCGAGCGATCAATCACAAAGATTTCATTCTCAAGACGGTCGATTCGCAAGAACGTTTCCTTCCAACTTGGAGCACATTCGAACGTCAATTAACCATCAATAAATTAAAAATAATTGCTCGAGCATTATTATTATAACTGCACGTGGGTAGAACAATAAAAAAAGTGCCTCGAAATCACGTGAGCGCACAACGAACTCGAGCGGCTTTCTGCTATCAGCGTCGTGTGAAATACCATCTCTCGCGCGAGCGCAGTGAAGAGAGCCGACAAATAAAAAAGAAAAAAAAAAGAGGGAAAGAAGATCGTCGTCGTCAGCAGCAGCAGCAGCAGCAGCAGCAGCAGCAGCAGCAGCAGCAGCAGCAGAAGCAGCAGCAGAAGCGGCAGCCGCTGCAAGCAGAGCGTCGAGTTGGAAATAAATCCAATCGAGCACGCACACACTTGCGCATTAGCGTGGGCAGCTAATTGCGAACAAAACTGTCGCTCGCTCGCATTTGCCGCGAATGCGTAAAAATAAATTTGTCGACGGGAGATAAGGCGGCATCGACGAATCCCGAACACGCGAATTCAATTAGAGCCGTTGCAGCTATACGGCGGCGCACAGCGCTCACGCGCACCGACACGCGGGCCCTGTATTTCCATTTCTCTCCGCCCCTTCGAGAGAAAAAATACGCCAGAGACCCACGCGAGAATAAATAATTAATCGGCAGGACGTGCCGCGAAGACGAAGAAGACACGGAAGCCATAAAGTCCACTTGTATACGACCGATACTTACTAATGACGCACCTGTGTTTTACATTAAAAACGCGCGCCAGATTGGAATTTGCGTAAGAGGACGCCATTGTAATATTTTCGGCAGCTTTATTAACGCGCACCGCAGCTACTCTTCTCTCTCTCTCGCGCGCGCGCAACGAGCTCTTTGTACTAGTGCGTGAATCATAACACTCTCGATGAAAAAAGCTGTCGCCAGCGTACGCGTACTTTACAACTTTGCTCTAATGAATTATCTGGGGCGTGTTGATAATACCGTTTTTGTGTTTCCTAGAATTGTTATTTTAGTTCGTTCATATAATAAACACATTCAATAATGTTCAAAGTACTTTTTAATTTAGTCTGAGGTTCAGATGTTCGAAAAAGGATTAATTTTAGTTGAAATTGTAATTTTTACATAAGCAGTTGGCTTGACTATATTATCATCATACTTTTATTTTATAGTTGAGATTACTTGTGCTAGTTTGTGTTTGAGTCGACTATTCATGCACAAAATAGAACTACGACTGTCTAGAACATAAATAGTGCTATAAAAATGCTCACAGTGAGAACAATTTGCGCCCAAATCCTGTTGGATATTAAATCCGTTTTAATAAGTGAACTCTTTCACAGTATGTTATAAATGTTATTCGTAATTGAGAATCATTAAAGTATTTTTGGTGTTATAAGAAAGCATATCGGAAAAAAGCTAAGTGCTTACGTACGCAAGGTGACAACCGATGCTCTACCGACAATCTAAAAGTCAAGCGGATAAACGTCTTTGAATCAGACAGTAAAATATAAAAACAGCTGAAGCGAAGAGTCGTCATGTAACAGTTCCCGAAGTAAGTACGTTTCGCGAATACTCGCAGAGTCGCTGGAAAGCGAGCTGCACGCATAGTTCCCAGCGGAGAAATAGATAAGTTGCAGGAAATCGTTGCAAATTAAACAAGCAGAAGCGTAGGAGCGATAAAAGCAAAAGGCGTAAGAGAGAATATATAGAGCGTCTGTCGTATTTTAAGAATAATCTGGCCGATTGCTCGAGTCTGCCTCTCGGAGTCGTCGCTGGGCATAATATTCAAAAGCGCAATGCAGGTGTAGCGTGCTGTGATCCCCTTATCTGGTAGAAATTAAAGGCAGAGAGCGCGAGGGAGGGGAGAGCTGCTGCCGGTCTATCGTCGCTTTTAAGTGCCTCGCGAAGGTACGTATGCAAAGCGTTGCGCTCGCTCGCGATCCGCAGGGGACAAAAGCTAAGGACAATCGCATTAGGGAAGCTTTCCTCGCGGCACAGCGGCCGCGGGGCGGGGGAGGGGGGAGGGGGCAAATTGAACTCAATATTCACCGGAGAGCGAGAGAGAAACAAGTTGACGCACCCAGAAGCGAGTAGTAGCAGCGAGATCGGTCGATGCCACCCGCCACCGCCGCCGCCGCCGCCGCCGCCGCCGCCGCCGCTCGGCCGTTATTCGGACGACGACACGCCGCCGCCCCGACCGACGCAGCTACTACTCCCCCGCCAACTTCGCTATACTGCCCTTGCCGCCTATATCTTTTCTCCCCTTGCTGTCTTTTCCTACACCGCGGCTGCCGCCGCCTCGACTCACTCTCCTTCTATCGTCTCGGCTGCTGCCCCCTCCCCCCTCCCGCCGGCGACGCTTCTCTCTCTCTCTTTCTCGTGTGTTGTACCCCCTCCCCCCTTACCACCCCTTTCTTGTTCTCTATATATCTCTATCGCTGCTGGGCTGCTTCTGCTGCTACTGCTTCCCTTTCGACTCTTTTCACTCAAAAGTCTGCGCGAGGGCTTACGTCTGTGGCCTGCCGATTTTCCTTTTTCGACCTTTCTCCCTTTTTTTGTTCTTTCCCTTTATTGATACACTTCTGTGTTGGTATTTCTTACATGTATTGTGCACACAGGCAGTCTTTTGAAAAAGCTCTTTGCTTTGCCGACTGATGAAACTTTAAATTCGGAAATTTTGACTCGTAACGGAGTTGCGACTTTTTGTTGTTTGAACTTTGAAACCTCCGAATAATTATTCGTAATATTTAAAAATATTAAACATTTAATAAGGTTCCCTTGTATTGCTATTCGCGTGAAAAAAAAATGACATAACATCCGCTTGTCATTTTCATTAATCGCGGCGATCAGCACAAAGCGCGAGAGGAAGGTAGATCCATCAAGGTAGCATTGTATGTCTTGGTGTACCGAGCGCTTGATCGACGATCGGCAATGACTAATCCCTCGTTAATGGCTGCGCAGATGTATATATAAAAAAACAGTCGATATTCGTGCAGGACACCTGCTGCTGTGCCACTCTGCGAGCTGCCAAGGCTGATTGTAAGTACGCCCCATTGCCCCTCTCCTTTTTTCACTCTCTTTCCCTTCCACTACAACATTCGTTACTTTCCAACATTAATTGCTTTTATTATATGTAATTATTGAGGCTATTATATCGAAAATAATTGTTATTAGCCTTAACTGAGATGAAGTGGAAGTTGGTAATTTTTTTAGTTGCGGAAATGAAATTCAATTAAAGGCGGCGAGATTTCAATAAGAATTGACTATGCTTTTGATTTTCTTTCACGTTTATAGGAGTTTTGAAAGGATTTTACTGTTTTTTTTACTGAAATGCAATTTCCCGGATGTCGAAATCAATTTGAAACTATAGTTAACCATTGCCTCGATTACTTTTATTAACTAGTCTCCTCGCGGCAAGAAAATGAAATTGCAACACTAGAGTTCTTTTGTCAATCCATCGACGTTAAAACACTTATTCGGTTCTATTTACTTTCAAAGACAGAGTCCACTTTAAGTGAATAAAGTGGAGCTCGGTCAGCCAACATCTCTTCTCCTTTCCAATCCTCGCTCTCGCGTCGGCTATCAGTGCAACAATGTTATAAGAAGAAGGGGGAAGAAGAGTTTGCCCTAAAGAAAGAAAAGCAAAGGGAAGAGGAAAAGGAAAAAAGAAGAGTCGAGGGAACAGAACGATGACGAGGGAGGACCGATTGTTTTGTCGACAGGTCAATCTCGCGTCTTTCTCCCGGCGACAAAACTCGATGACAGCCATGCCGTGCAAGCGACATTGGTGATCGAACGAGGCAGCAGCAGCAGCAGCACAGCAGCAGCAGCTCGATAATCTCGGCGCAAAAAGAAACTTGCTTATCCATCATTGCCGCAAATCTCGACAACTACAATTAGCGAGCTCGCGAGCCTTCTCTGATGAGTTTTTCCTCTGATTTTTATTTCGGGGCATGATAGATTGCATTAGCTGTGTTGTGATCGATTGATGAAAATTTCTTGATTCTGATTGAGGCCACGTATCGCGGATGATGTATCATACAGGTACTAATCGAACGAAGGAATAGAAGTAAGTTTGGTGGACGAGCGAGCGTTAAAAATAGAATCCACCGTTGTATTCGTGTCTGGTCCGCCGTCCACTAATCCCCGCAAAGCAAAACGTTTCGCGCGTATCCCTCGGTCTTTCTCTCGGCGAGGGCTCGTGAAACAGGTGAATAAGTATATAGAGAGACACGCACACAGGCGCAAGGACAGATTTGGCGGGAGGTCGCGTCGCTGTGGAATGGACACAGTCTGGCCGAGATAAAACGAGGCAGGTCCGGCAGCTCTGCGCCGAGCTGGCTTTTGGCCGGGGAATATTGAGCTGCGGACCGTTAATGTTTATAACGACGTTAGACGTTGGACGGGGGCGCTTTGGATGTGTATGTGGAGCACGTATATAGCGCTCGCGCGTCTTTGCCTCTCCTCTCCCTATATCGAGCGCCACTCGCTCTCGGTCTGTCTAATCGATGCCGTGCTCTCGCGCGAGCCAAAGCGAGCACCGCGTTCTGGCTGTTACGCACCTTAATGTCCCCCTCCGTCGGCGCGACTCCCACCCCCGCCCCTCCTTCCTCTTGCAAACCGTCGTTCTCTCTGTCTCACGGTATATAGCCGCCGCTACTGCTTTTCTGATACGTTGCGCGCGGGGGGTGGGAGAGAGACCGAGAGAGCCGGGAAAAGGGGCAAACTCTGAGGCGGCCATGACACGTGTCAATCTACCGCAGACGCCCGCGATCGATACCGACGGACCTCTTCACCGGAGAGAGAGGATATGCTTGCGCGCTCCTTTTCTCTCTCCACGGCCGGGCACGAGACGGAAAAAGGAGCCTTTCTTCTGACTCCGTTTCGAC